AAAAAAAAAAAAAAAAAAATCCTATGTGACGCTGCTTAATCGTTAAGCAGGTCGACTCGTCATACTCTATGAACAAAAAATCATACTCATACTACCAAATGTCATCATTTGTCATACTTCTATGATCATAATTTTATTATGACATATAAATGAATTTATATGTATTTGTAAAAAAGTATGTTGACCTGATAGTTAGGCAGCCTAACACAGTCCTATCGTAAAAAATTATATATAAAAATAACATAACGTATTTATGTTTTGTAGTTCTACTATGTCCTATTTATAGGACTTTCAGTGATGTAAGGGATGTCCAAAGGTCAGCTGCCACTAAAGGCAGGTAAGGGCCCAATCATGGTTGTTGTAATGGGTATAAATTGACCTGGCCGTTTTTCAAGTGTTAACTCACATTCTCTCCACTTGATAACAACCAACACGGTTAGGTGGAAGGTAATCAACACGTCCAGGTTCATTTGAACCTAGTGAAGGACACATGGATAAGGTCAAAACCCGAGTCTAATTTCGACTCGGTTTGGATTTTATTTTAGCCTAGGCAGTCCAAGGCCGCCCAAGTCCAGTACACAGTCTATTTGCCAAGGAGCTGTTTATTGTGTTTTTGTGCTTCTTTTTATGTGTTTTATGTGTATAGTTGAGTCGGTTAGGTTTGTTTTCTTGTCTAACCGGTCCATTTTAGTTGATCCCGTGTGTTTTTATTTTCTCTTTGGTGTTTGTATTTTGGCGTACTTTCCCGTGTCTTTGGTGCAATTTTTAGGTCCATTTTGGAAGATGAAAGAGAAGAATTGAGCCAAGTTCTGAGAGCATGAACCATTCCGAGAACCCCCGAGCCGTTGTCGAGTCATTACCGTGCAAGAGATCTGAAAGTCTAGTTCGCCTAGCGAACGTGTTTGCCGCATAGCGAGTGTGCACAAGACTCACAAGACCAGTTCGCCTAGCGAACGCGTTCGCCGCCTAGCGAGTGTGCACAAGACCACAAGACCAATTCGCCTAGTGAACTAGTTCGCTACCTAGCGAGTGCTAAATTGTTAAATGTGTGTATTTTACTGTGTGTTTCTGGTATAGCTATAAATAGACTTGTGGCTTTGAATTTTTGGGACACAACTATCATTTCCCAACTTTTAAGTTGGGAAAATCCTCTCTATTTTCTTTTTTCTTTTTTTTTTTTATATTTTGGTTTGGAGCATATGAATCAAGTTTTTCGGCAAATTTCCGGCGACATTGTTTCGAGTAAAGTTTCGAGCTTTTGACTCCGTTTCTCCTTCCAAGTGCGTGTAAGAGTGGGTACTTAGTCTTATGTCTCATTACTTCGTATATCTTTGTTTGCTTTTGTGAAAATCGATATTGTGCTTGTGTTGCTTGGAGGAAAAGATCGAATCTTTGGATCGTGAATGCTTGACTAAGTGTGACTAGGAGTTAAATGCTTGCTCGTTTGTGCTAGAGTTTGGTTTAACTACCTAGGGTTTCAGCTAGCATGACAATGTTCGGTTATTTGTGTGCGATTGATCATAGAGACTCCGGCGAACCAAAATCCCTCTTTCCCCCTTGATATCTCTCATCTTCTTGCGTGCTTAGTTAATTGCTTTCAATTGCTCTCATTTCGTAGATTAATCTAGTCTAAATTCAAACCCTCAAATTGCGAGTAGAATGTTTAGAACCTTTTCGATTGTGTGATTTGTTTATAGTATTTTTGGGTATTGGTAACCGAATAATTTATTAACAAACACCTGTGTAATACACGAGTGTTGTACTAGTAAGGTTTAAAATCTTATTGACATATCTTTTATAATATAATTCAAATTAGATTCACGTTTGTAAGGGATTCAATTAACTTGGTAAAAGTTCGTGAAATTGATCAATTTCAAAACAAAAATGATGGAAAATAATAATAGTAATAGTTCAACATAGTTTCCACAAAATAATTTGTCGGAAAAATAAATTTTAAAATTGCGAAATTTCAATTGAATTTTTATAAAATTTTGATTCATCGGAATATTTTAATATATATTCCTTCATGTTAAAATTTTATTTTTTCTAAAATAGTTAGATATGTAAAAAAAAAAAAAAAATCTTATGTGACGCTGCTTAATCGTTAAGCAGGTCGACTCGTCATACTCTATGAACAAAAAATCATACTCATACTATCAAATGTCATCATTTGTCATACTTCTATGATCATAATTTTATTATGACATATAAATGAATTTATATGTATTTGTAAAAAAGTATGTTGACCTGATAGTTAGGCAGCCTAACACAGTCCTATCGTAAAAAATTATATATAAAAATAACATAACGTATTTATGTTTTGTAGTTCTACTATGTCCTATTTATAGGACTTTCAGTGATGTAAGGGATGTCCAAAGGTCAGCTGCCACTAAAGGCAGGTAAGGGCCCAATCATGGTTGTTGTAATGGGTATAAATTGACCTGGCCGTTTTTCAAGTGTTAACTCACATTCTCTCCACTTGATAACAACCAACACGGTTAGGTGGAAGGTAATCAACACGTCCAGGTTCATTTGAACCTAGTGAAGGACACATGGATAAGGTCAAAACCCGAGTCTAATTTCGACTCGGTTTGAATTTTATTTTAGCCTAGGCAGTCCAAGGCCGCCCAAATCCAGTACACAGTCTATTTGCCAAGGACCTGTTTATTGTGTTTTTGTGTTTCTTTTTATGTGTTTTATGTGTATAGTTGAGTCGGTTTAGGTTTGTTTTCTTGTCTAACCGGTCCATTTTAGTTGATCCCATGTGTTTTTATTTTCTCTTTGGTGTTTGTATTTTGGCGTACTTTCCCGTGTCTTTGGTGCAATTTTTAGGTCCATTTTGGAAGATGAAAGAGAAGACCGAGAGCATGAACCATTCTGAGAACCCCCGAGTCGTTGTCGAGTCATTACCGTGCAAGAGATCTGAAAGTCTAGTTCGCCTAGCGAACGCGTTCGCCGCCTAGAGAGTGTGCACAAGACCACAAGACCAATTCGCCTAGTGAACTAGTTCGCTACCTAGCGAGTGCTAAATGGTTAAATGTGTGTATTTTAGTGTGTGTTTCTGGTATAGCTATAAATAGACTTGTGGCTTTGTAATTTTGGGACATAACCTTCATTTCCCAACTTTTAACTTGGGAAAATCCTCTCTATTTTCTTTTTTCTATTTTTTTTTTATATTTTGGTTTGGAGCATATGAATCAAGTTTTTTGGTAAATTTCCGGCGACATTGTTCTAGTAAATTTCGAGCTTTTGACT